TTTTCTATATCTTAGATTCTATGTCCAAACATATATATAGGGGTTTGATGTGCGAGGTAGAGAGTCACAGCAAGAAATACTTATGAAACGACTGTTGTTGTGTCAGATCATCACGATGTTTATGACATTACAAAAAGGTAGGCGACTGATCCATTTTATCCGTATTTGTCATTCCTATTACCATCCAGAAAGATGCGCCTATTTACCCTTTTTATTTTCAGATGGTGATTTTGTTTTAAAAGTTTTTGACATTTTTACACCGTTCACTGCCGCATTGATATGGATTTTGTATCGACATTTTGAAAAGATATGTATCATAAAACCATTACCAAGTCGACCCGCTAACTCTGAAAGGTCTAGATTTATTTGATTAATGTTTTATAGAGCAGATTGGATTTGTTTTTAATTTATCGTTTAACCATAGATACGTAGTTTGTCGAAACCTCAAAGTGCATCGTCCCAAAATAACTACATACTTGTTGGAAGTCAATAGAAAATTTGATGAAATCAGAACATCAGACGGACAGGATATTAATGAGATAGTAGAATTTGAGGTGATGAAAAAGGACGAGGAGTTCATGAATTACTTGGAAACTAGTAATATGAAAACCGCGGTTATGCAAACAAATGCAATTAAAGAATTGCAAAAGTATATTGATGAGCCGTATCCTTTCTTTTGTTAATTACGAAACGCTTGTTTGCTTCGCAAGATTATTTTTTCTATTGGAATGTTATCTTTGATGTATCATTTTGGTCAAATAGCGATCTTGAGATGCCCAAGCAAGATGAATACCGAAGACTTTGTTTGCAAGAGTGGGGAATCACGAAGGCTGAAGAATAAATAGATATTAGAAGGTCTGGGGTAAACATGGTTTTATGAGAAACAAGTCATACTCTAGATACAAATTTATTTAATCCTGTATGTTGTAGTTTTATTTTAAAACTTAAGCAAGGAATTTGATATTACGGACAAGGATACTATTTTTTTTGTAAAACTCAAGTATAATGTACCGATTCAAAAACAATATCTCAGCTTTTATTTGATTGTATCAGTAATGTTGACGAAATTTTTGAAAAATTCTTTGGCTAGATCCTTCATATTACAGATAAATTTAATCTACATCATAATGACTTCACCTCCTTCGCTTTTTTTGTTCGAAAGATACTTGATCTTCAGTTTCATATTTGATGGTGAAATAGTCGCCATCCACAATCTTAATAAAATCTTCTGTGTCTGATTCGTCAAACCCCCTTTGCTCAATTCTTCTTTTTATGCCACGAGGTTCTTGTTCTTTTGCTTTTCCTTTTTTCCCTATAACGTTCTTGACATCTTCTGTCTTTATGGCAAGATTATTATTTCTGATTTCAGACAATGTGTAAGTCCTATTGATAATTGGAACTGGTCTAAGAAGGTTTCGAGACATTAACCAAGAAGTAGTTCGGTAATGTAGGTGAAGAACTGCCAAAGGTTGAAGGGATGCTGGTGCTAACAATGACTCATATACTTGTTGAATAGGAATTGTCTCCTCATTAAATGAGGTGGACAATTTCAGTCCTAAATCAGCACGACCTTCAGAAACCTTTGCAGACTTAATGTTGATGTCTCTAGGCTTGACAATCTGGTGAAGATGCATTGCCCGGTAAAAATAAACAGAAACTGCACCCTGACCACCGGCTCTAGTATTTGGAATAATATAACCTTCGTCATTACCCCAGAGGGTAACGTCGAATTTAAAATTATATATTTTTCCTCTTGCATAGTTGTAGAAACCTTCTCTAATATTCTGAATACTTGATAGACTAGTATGAGCTGAATATGTATTATCATGCAGACCGTCAACATAAACGAAAGCCATTATAGGCCCTCCAAATATCGTGTGATATGGAATTTTATACCGAATTTTAAATTGAACCCCAAGCTTAGTGACTGCTGCATATACTGTCTGTTTATTCTCTAACCTTCTTTGCGAAAACTCATTTAAGACATAAGATGGCCCTGTTGTGGTTCTTCCTGTCCCTATCGGTTCCTCACATTCCTCTAGCGGCTGATCATTCACTAAAATCTCAAGTTGATAGTTTGAAAACAACATCCTTAACTCATAAGACGCGTAATTTTATGCGCGTTTATATTAAAGTAATCACGTGTAAAGTACCTTCTCAGTGGATGATCCAATTATCTCGTCATTAATTTGATTGACAATATAATAATAAAATTAATTACTAAAATTTATCATCAACAACATAAATTTGAAGACTGTTAAAGGTAATGCAAAAAAATCTTTAACATTATCAATTTACATAATCTTTTATCTTATTCTACTTTTAGATTAAAAATAATTAATTTATTTAATAAATATATATAAAATTCCATATCAACAAATATAGTTGTATTCAAAATCAAATTTGAATCTTATTATATCAAACTTTGTTATATCACAGAACTAAGTAAATATAGAAATGTCTATAGCAAATTTAATCCATTATATTGAATTTATTAATTAAAGCTTATTATATTAAATTTCTTAAAATTTTTGTTTTATAATTTTAATTTTTTCATTATAATAAGATTTAACTATACTTTCAAGTATTCTTCTTATATAAGAATTTTTCTATTATCTATATTTTAAATATTATAAAAATCTATATTGTCTCAAATATAGCTTCTAATTTAAAATTATTTTTTATATTTTTAATTGTTTTAAAACAAAAAAAAAATCCAATTAAATAATAAAGTTTATTAATTTTATACTTTATTCAAATAGTAGCAACAAGTTAAAATTCAATATATAACAAGTAATAGAATTAACATATGAAATTATAGTTAATATATATTATTTTTAATATCTTATATTTATAATTGAATCAAAAAAAATTTTTTTTTTTAATAACTAATATATATCTTGTTTATTGAATATTGTATTATATCAGAAAAATTTTTTGATGGAGATCTTTAAAAATTTTTAAAATAAAAAACTCTAAAAATTTTCAAAGTGATAATAATTATATTAAAATAAATAATTATTTAATAAATATTCATTACTTTTATCAAATCTTAGAATTATATAAACTAAATCAACATTACAAAAATCTTTAAAAGAATTTAAATTCTCTATAAAACTCTAAAAATAAATAATTATTAATTAATAAAATAAAATATTTAAAACAAAATATTATTAAAATACTTTTAAAAAATTCTATATATCTTTAATGTAATTTAAAATAGTAAAAAACTTTGACATATTTGAATCTTCATTAGATTAATTACTAGAATCCACAATTAAAATATATTTGCTAATATGCCTTATATAAGAAGAATGTCTTGAAAAAGTGTATTAACAAAATTGATATTTGAAATTTATTTTAAAAATCTTCAAAGGAATATAAAAAATGTATAAAATTAATCAATAAAATATTAATTATATAATTTTGATTAAACAAAAATTTAATTTATAAGTTATAATAATTATATTAACAAAATAATTTTATTTTCATATAATAACTTAATGATTTATATTTATGAAATAATTTTTAAAAGATAATAAAAAAAAGTTTGCAGTTATAATATAACATAATTTTTTGGAATTTGTATTATATAAAATCTCTAAAGTTCTTACTTTTTCTTTAATATAAAATATTTCAAAAACTTATTTTTGATTCTGTCAAAAAAAAAAAAGGAAAATTCAAAAAAATACTTTAAATTCTTCTAAAAAGGCAAAAAATATTTAAAAAATTCTAAAGCCAATTACTGAACAAAGATCTTTGACTCCTATCAAAATTGAAACAAAAATAACTTGGAAATAATTGAGATTTCCTGAATATATTTTTGAATCATTTTTTGATATACCAGTATAAAGAATATTTAAAAAAACTTCAGATATATTTAAAAATTTGTTATAATTTAAAATAAATACTAACTTGTATATTTAGTTTCTAATAAAAGTATTGAAAAAATTATAAAGTTCCATGAAAGTCTTTATAAAAAAATCAATCAATTGTTAAAATGACAAAAAATTATAGAGAATAAGATTAACCATTTAGAAAATAAAATTTATATAAGTCATACTTAATTACTAAACATAATTTCATTAAAGTCAGATTTATTTTAAATCTTTTTGAAGGTCTTTGAAAATTTATATTTTATTTAAATGGTGTATAGTTAAGAGTATTGTAAAACAAGTATTTTTTAAAAAAATATATCTAGAACATGAAGATTTTTATCAAATAATCAAGAAATTTTTTTAGTAAAAACATTTGGAGTTTTATGAAGGTCTCACAAAAAAATACTGAAAAATATATTCACCAAGCAGTAATTCTTATAAATATTAATAACTTTAGTTCTTCAATTATTTAACAATTTATTACTTTAAAAGCTTGTGAAACAACATTAATTACTTTGTGAAACTATGGCTTCAAAAGTTTGTAATGCTATGTTTTCAGTTTTTGATAAAGAATATTTAAATACAAATGCAACTCTTATCAATATTTTGATTTGAAAACAATTTCAGAAGACTGTTAAATGTTTTGAAAATCTTTACAACTGTTTAAGAGAAAAGACATTGTAAGAGGGACCGAAAAATTAGATAGATTCAACATATGTCATCCTCGTCCAATTGGGGTTTAATTGGGACTTGAGGGATTTTTGGGATTTTTGGGATTTCTTAACATATATATAAAGAGAGGAATGTACTAGAGAAAAAGCAACAA